GCCTTGGCCCCTTCCCCAGGGCAGCCCCCTCAGGCAGCCACACCTGGGCCAGCCCTCAGCCCCTGCTTCCCCGCCCCTGCCTGTTCCAGGGACCTCAAGAGAGATGTGGCCAAGAAGCTGGAGAAGCTGGAGAAGCGGACACAGAGGGCCATCGCCGAGCTGATCCGGGAGAGACTGAAGGGCCAGGAGGACAGCCTGGCCTCTGCAGTGGGTGCCACCACGGAGCAGGAGGCCTGCGACTCAGACTGAGGTGTGCCTGCCCTGTCGTCCTGTGGGCAGTGGTCGTGGCGGGTGGGACTGGACTTGCTGTGACTCCCGCCTTACTCAGTCTGGGCTGAGGTCGGCCCCGTCTCCTGCGTGGCTCTGCCACTCTGAGCAGGCCGGAGCCAGGAGAGACGTCGGGTGCGCCTGTGTAGATACATCTGCATGTATTTTTATTTTATTTTTTTAATATCTGGAAATAAAGACAAGGGAACCGCTCTGTGAGCAGAATCCTGTAAAGTTTCTCTTGGCCCAGGGCACTGCTGAGGGTTTGAGTCCCAAGACCTGCCTGAGCCAGCCCTGCGTTGGGCTCGGTCTGTGGAGGCTGGAGGAGTGGGGAGGCCCTAGGCTGGCCTCTGGGTCCATGTGTCTGGTAGGCCCAAGCCTTGCCCTGCAGTGTTCTGTGGGACAGCCTGGAGCGGTCCCCTGACTAGCCTGTGGAGGCTGCTCTGTGCCCTGTGGAGCGTTTTGGTACAACTGAGGTGTGGTCTGCGTTCCAGATGGGTCTTGAATCCTGGGCCTCCAGGTTCTGACTTGAGACCCAGTAGCCACTGTGAGCTGACTGCTAGGCGACTGGCGGACACCATCCTCGCTGACCCCACGTGCGCATGGCCAGTGGGAGGTGCATCTCCTCTAGGATGGTCACAGTTTCCCCTGAAGCTTCCTGCTTCTATGTTTCCACCCCACCCACGAGCCTTTTTAGAAACGAAGCCTCCGTGTGAAACGACTGAGAAGGGTGTGTGCCTCACCCCCATTTCCACAGTTCCCACCATCAGTTCATGCCCGGCTTGGACGGAAGCGCATGTGGTGTCCAGAAGGCCTTCAGGCACAAAAATCGGATATCCCAACCCAGTGAGGCCAGCGATGAAGTGGCCATTGGGGGAGGGCGGGGACTGCAAAGCAGAGGCAGGGCCGGGATGCTCTTCCCAAGTCACCCCTCGGCTCTTCCTTTGGAGCTGTGCTCCAGGTGCAGGTGGGCCGGCTCCTGGGGACAATGCTGAGAACTGCAGCCAGGGAGGGGAGGGAGTGCATGCACTCACACGGTCAGTGCAGGGCCTGAATTGTACAGCTCCTTGAAGGAGGGGCTTCCTGTGTCAACAAGGAGCAGAAACTTGTCTCTGTGAGCCAGAACTCAGGTGGTGTGTGGCCAGCAGCCCAGCAAGGGACAGGACCAGACATGCTCACGGATGCCAGGGCTGGAGCGAGAGGCCCTCTGGGGTCACGACTGGGGTCTGACCATGAGAAGCCCCCTGGAGCAGGTGCTGGTCTACGGCGAAGGAAGAACCCAGGCACCTCTGACTCACTGACTGTCACCCACTTGGCATTAGGTGGCAAAGTGAAATTTCTCAATGTGGGTCTTCTCTCTCTGCCTCTCTGACTCCCACCATACAACTGGGGGCACTGTGTGAGCAGGATATGTGGAAGACTCATCGAGGGCCTGGCTTGGGTTGCCACTCCTGTGTAGCAGAGAGCCAGCTCTGAAGCAGAGAATTCCTAGCACCATCGAGAAGGAAGAGCCACTGGCTGAGCTTGTTGGAGGGCCCTGCCTGAAGTGCCAGCAGCAGACATGTCACCCCAAGGCCAGAGGCTGAGGCAAGGCCACCCTGAGGCAGACCAGAGGAGTACTTTGGAGACTATGAGACTATGAGGCAGAGCAGTGGGATGGATTCTAGGCTCACAGAGGCAGTGATCAAGGGACTGCCTGGCTTGAGAGGCAGAGGACCCAGAGACAGGCTTGATTGCAGGCTGAGGAGAAGTGTGGACCAGTGATTGTGTCCTTAATATTTTTGGTCCTGACTTGTGGTAACCTATTGGGTTAGTCCCGGTTGACTAAAGAAACAAATCCAGAGACTCGTGTGTGTAAGAAAGAACTTTATATCAAAGAGCAATTGTATATCGAGAAAACATCCCAGCCCAGTCCAGATCCAGCCCATAAATCCCTCTTCAGACTCACACAGCACATGCAAGGACACTGAATGCAGGAAGATCACAGGCCAGTGGGTGAAAAGTCTTGTGGATCCAGTGGCGGTGGAAGCAGCTCAGCACTGGCTGCCATCAGAGTGGCTCCATGTGGCTTGTCAACAGGAACGCCGTCGAAGCAGAGAGAGATGTTCCCAGAATCCTCGTTAGAAGGCCACGCCCACAAGAAGGGATCATCAGGCTGTGACCTGATTGACTGGCTAGACTCCACCCCTTCATTCTTTTATCAAGTCGACATGAAATTGTGCAGCTACCACACCTGTTGACTTCCGTAATACGCTCTCTTAAGGGCGAGTATAGTGAGTATGTCTGAATTCAGAGTGGCCACTGCAGCAGACTCTCTAGCCCAGCAGAGAAATAGAGGGTTGTGGGAGGAAGTGGGAGGCCTGTGCATTCGGCCTCAACCTGGTGTCCCGATGGATCCTTCTCCTCGAGTGGCTGCAGGAGGTCCATCAGATGAGGCCTCTGCCCTTTCCACCCCCCACCAGTTCTGGGACTCCTAGCAAATCCAGACACACACCCCCACCCCCACCCCTATCGAGTCGGTTTCTCCCTTGGCAACCCTGCAGGACAGGGCAGGACTGGCCCTTGGGGTCTTTGAGACTAGAAATCAGTGTTTCTTAGAGTGGACGCTACTGCCTCCTGCAGCCCTGCAACTCTGCAGCGGGGCGAGGGGCTACAAAGGCCGGTGCCTACACTTTATCCTGGATCGCGGCCCCTAGCACAAACGGCTTTCACTGCCAGCAGGAATATGCTGCGCTATTTATTTATATATATTCCTAAAATGGGGAAGTCGGCCAAATCCATTTGGGAACCTATGCTCTGTCTTCCCAGCTGCAGAGAACCTCCTCTTCCTCCTGCAGACCACCTGGTGGGGGTGAGCGCCTAGAGCCGACTCGGTGGTGCTCAGCCCAGCACAACCCATGATGCCACCAGGGCTCGCAAGTACCAGGACCAGAGCGGGCTTATCCCTCAGGAGGAGAACCCGGCGAGCCACCGTGGTCGACGTTTGCACAGGGCCCAATGTATAGAAGAGAGTCAAAAACTGCCACAGGTGATGGTTCTCAAACAAAATGTCCAGCACACGCAAGAAAACAAATGCCTTAAAAAAAAAAAAGTCTGACATCCCAACAAGTAGGGGGATTTATACCCAAGGAAACTGAAATAGTAATAGCCAGGAAGGCCTGTCCATGACTATGTTTTACCATCGGAGAGAGCAAAGAGAGAAGAAAGAACTAACTGGAAAGCTAGAGGAAGAATAGGATCGTTGACACGCTTTAAAAGCGTTAAGTCGTGATTCAGCCGAAAAAGGAATGAATGGGGGAGACATTGAAGTGGAGGAGGGAGATCACCCAGAAGGAGCCAGAGGAGGTGGGGCTGCAGCGGGCTGATTGAGCTGGAAGTTCAGGGAAAGAAACTCGAGGGAAGGTCCCAACTACTGATGTTCACTGGCAACAGGGTTAAAATAGGGGCTTGATCTGAATGGCCCTTTGCAAACAGCTAAATACATAACAAGAACTTTAAATGCAGCAATGAGCTGGGAAGTTAAAGGGGGGTGGGGGGTGAGGAAAGGGGGCTGGAATTGAAGACCAGGCCTTTACCATAAGGGTCTTTGACCAGCTGGGTAAATTTGAGCAGTGGTTTTGGAGGTCTTCCATGGCTGGAGGCAAGACAACACCAGACTTAGGCAAAATGAAGGCCTAAGAAATCCCTAAAGAGCTGGGGTCCCCAAGGGGCCGCATCCTCTGTGGACTCGTCACACATCAACTCTCCTGGCATCTAATGAGCCAGCCCACCTGTGCATTTTGTACAAAGAGAGCCCAGGTAAGAAGACACCTGATAAGAAACAGACGCAGGCCCTCCTTGGTTGAACCTTTAATTCAGCTATGCCCTCAAAGATTGCTCACTGATAACAGTTCCAAGAAAAACCGAGCCGCTTACAGGAAACGTCAACAGCGGCACAGAGCACCGAAGCAACAAGAGTGAAGGACACCCAGGATAGCAGATGGAGCGCGCACCAGCGGAGGCGGTGTGGGTGGAGCACTGCCGAGCCGCTCCCAGACCGTCGTGAATCCCGTCCACGGAGGCACGCAGGCTGCTGTGGCTGAAGCAGCACCGTGATAGGAAACTACGCTCACTTGGAGGCTCGGATTTCTTCTCACCGGTGGTGGTTTGGTAGCTGTTTTTACTTTTTGACTTCGCGGGACAGCACATGTGATGGCAGCACTTTTTTGTGTTCATGAAAAGTGTCCTAAACAAGTTTTCTTTAGAAACCCTGAATAGAAAGCATCGGTTTCTGCATAACAGAGTGCCTGGGCGTATTTGCTACCTCCGTGTCTCTGGGCCTGAAACTACAGAGCCCGCCTGGGTCCTTCCTAGCTCAGGGTCTCCTGCGGCTGCCAGGATGACTCCACTCCCAGGGCTGTTGGCTGGAGGCCCCCCTGCCTGGCCACAGGGACCTTCCCAGAGGCCTGGCTTCTTGAGTGTCCCCACTGCCCAGAAGTGGATGTCCCCCACAGCGACCGAGAGAGCAAGGAGGAAGCACCAGAACTTTTTTTTTTAATCATCGAGACTCTTACAGCTCTTATAACAATCCGTATATCCATTGTATCAAGCACACTTGTACATCCGTTTCCATCATCATTTTCTTTTCTTTTTTTAATCATTTTATTAGGGGCTCATACAACTCTTATCACAATCCGTACACACATCAATTGTGTAAAGCGCATTTGTACATTCCTTGCCCTCATTCTCAAAACATTTGCTCTCCACTTAAACCCCTGGCATTAGGTCCTCATTTTTCTCCTCCCTCCCCGCTCCCCCTTCCCTCATGAGCCCTTGATAGTTTATAAATTGTTATTTTG